CTTCCCTCCCTCCCTCCCTCCCTCCCTCCCCCCCTCCCTTCGAAACAACAAACTTGCATGCTCTATTTACATCACACCGAGGTGTTCACACCAAACAACAACGCCACAAACACCGCTCTCGCAGTTGTAAACGCCCACACCAGCAGTATTTAACTGCAGTTGCTTAGTGGTGCCTTCCTACCATCGTGCTTCTCCATTCATTTACCCCCCGCTCTCCTCTCCTTGCGCGCCCCGCCCTCGGCACTGGCGCTCAGGACTTGATTGAGACGGTCATCAGCACCATTCAAGAGCCCGAAGTCACGGAGGCCGGCGTCGCGGCCGTAATGGCGAGGCTCCAGGCTTATAGCGACGGGATAAACCGGCTCATCGAGACCCTGCCGCCAGAGGCCGCCAACGGCAACGAGGGGGGCGTAGGAGTGGGGCGGGGAGGGGTTTGATGAATACTAAGCTTATGGGGTGAGATTATGTTTCACTTGGAGGGAGAGCCGCGTATGTATTAGTAGTATTCTACTGTCCTTTTTTTTTTTGTACAAAGCTCGTTCCTCTTTTTACTTCTGCGCGCCGGTATTGCTACCGCTTCCGGAGTTTCCCCTTGATCTGAGACTGCGTTTTGGTGGTCGCGACGAGGATCAGCCGTCGCTCTCTCCCTCGTTCTCAACCGCTGTCGGCTGGCTTGCATTGTACGGCATTCCCTTGAGCGCGGGGCTTGATTTTATTGAGGTAGACTTATCGGCAATTGCTAGTTCCGTGTGCCCCGGCGATAATTGCAGTTTCTTGGCTGGTGCTGGTGCAATCGGCCTCGGGGCCTGTCGGGTGCTATTTTCCGTCGTGCCATACAATGAATTTCGATTCCCAACGCAAGAGAGGAGGAGGGCAGGAGGGAGGAGTTACTCATTTTTTTCGTGTAGTAATTTATGAGCGTGGATTGTTCATGCATTTTGGTAGAGACGGAGCACCGTTCTTTGTTAAGGGGCTGAGGGCGGCGGGGGGCTTCGTCGCGGCATATTAGCGCCAAGACGGCGAGTAAGCGTCCGCTCGGTGAAGCTTGCTCGCAGAGCTCCCGGCGGGCACGATGTGTCGCTGTCCTTGCCAATGCGAGAGACGGCAATCAGCACATAAGTGCTTAGGCGGGCGGTAGAACTTCTCTCGGCATCAGGGAGTATGCCTTGGAAGGTGTGTTGTCCATAGGAAAACCCGAAAGTGGCGTTTTGTAGACCGGGCTGGGGGCCCCCCGTCCCCTTCGTCTTCCTCGTGCCTCAGAGAGCGGTATCAGTACCATGCTGTAATCTCTGCGAGCCAACTTTTATTACCCAATAATTACAAGCTGTCCGTGACGATATTTGTGGCTCTGTTTCCGTGAAAAACAGCGTTTGTTTTTCTGGCAATGTTGTGGTGAGCCTAGCAGCAAGTTTTTTTTGCCTCCTTAGAGGGGACAGGAAGGACGCAAGCAGCAGGGTGCCCCCGGCCTCCTCGTTGTTGTTATATCCTTCGGCGTGTGCGTGTGTCGTGTGTTTTGTGTGTGTTGCGTGTGCGCGTTAATTTCCCCGCGTTTCTCTGGGCCGCCACAGAGACGCTCCCTCGAATGACACCGAACATCTCTCCCCAGCCGGGAGAAAACCCGGAAATGTTCCGTTTGTCTTGGTCTCGGTACTGTACTGGTTCGCGGGCAGCCCTGCTGTCTCTTAATTCGACCTAGAACGGGATACACTCCGTACTCCTTTTTTTGTGTTCCTCTCGCCATATGTGTGTATGGAGATGATTAATACAGGGTGTTAGTCGCGCGTATAGTGCTGGCTGGGGTTGCTTGCTGTACTGTTGTTGCTGCGGCCAGGCCTTAATATTCGTGAAACATCCATTGTCCTTGTCGTAAAATGTTGTTGTCAGAGAGGGAGGGAGAGAGAAATAGAAATACCGGTCGTCTTAGTCGAGCTGTGCGCCCGCGTACACTTGGTATGGATGGAGATTTTGGTGGGTTGGGATTTCATGTGGTGGGACCAAGGGGGGGTTAAGGAATGATATCTGGCTCCCACGCTAAACATTCCAGTCGTTGTTTTTCGGAGTGGGCGACTTGCGTTGTGGGCGAGAATGAACGCAATAAGCGGCGGGTAGTGATGGCTGTCTGTCTCACCTCAAAACGACGAGCCCGAATCTGAATCCACACGCTGCCGCGTCTGGTCATGCTGACTCGGTGTGCGAAGACGGGAGACGACGACGACGGTCGGTGAGCCGGGCCTGCGAGCTGCCCCGCGCGCTTGCCTCATCATAATTTTTTTGCCGGGCCAATGGCGCGCCTTTCCTCGTTCAGCCCGGTGTGGCGTCGGTGAGGAATTTACACGCCTATTTCCGCAACACCTTGCACCCTCTTTTAGTGCCGTCTTTCTTTTTCCTGTTGTGTTGTGCTGGAAGGCCCGGGGTTCGTTGTGGAATTCCTACTCTAGCAATAATCCGTCACCAGGTTCTTAGTTGTTGTAACCGTTCAGGTCTCTAGGCTCTATTCGTTTTAACGTCAGTACCAGTCCAACGGACGGGGACGCCTTCCGTAGCCTCTGGCACATCTTGGATATCAAGTTGACTCTAAGATATTATAATGATGTTTTCCATTGTAACAACTTCGCGCAATAACGTCTCGGGCATCATCAAATGATTCTGAGTGGTCTGTCGTTGAAACGTCCTAGCTAGGTTTCCACGTATCGGGGCGCGTGCGTTGCATGTTGTTGGCCGCATGTTCACGTATACCGAGCAACGAAGTTTCAAACGGTTTTATTGGGAGAGCGGGGCGGGGTGCTTGAGACGTTCGTTCGCGAAACGTGTTTTCGTTCGCTTGCGGCCCGAAAATTGCATCCGTAAAAGCCAGATGTCTCCGTAGGGGACCCGAACATTGACAGCCTAGATTGGATTTTCGGGTGCCTACATACAGTGTCTTCAATGACTGTAGACTATAGTTCCCAAGCTCGGTAGAGCTTGAGTCTCAGTCGATCAAAAGTCTTCTTTTTCTGTCTGTGTAGACTAATTTTCATTAGTATAGCCCACCCCTTGCCCGACCGGGTCTGAAAGGCCGACCTCAGCCCACACTGCGAACCTCCGAGAACTACCAGCAGTTCTGTGTAGTTGAGACGATTTCAAGACTTCTCACTGTTGTTTGAGCAGCTACCGCTTGCTGTGGCGTGAGAACCGGTTTCTGTGTTATTGATGCAGTGGAGCAGGTCGACTTGTTGTCGAGGGTCCTTCTTTTTGCTGAAACGCTGATCATCAATTTCCACACCGTCATCATGCGGCACGCAACACGCATCATACAGCGCCCGTTCTGCTCCCGCTGCTGCTGGACAATGCTTCTATAATAGCGTGTTGTGCTTGCTAGGGAATCTCACACATGAACCACAAGCAGCTCTGTGTGGCCGAGATGCTCGCACGACCCCTCCGACGGGAACGGGTTACACGGCGGCAGGCAGCTACGTGGGGTGCGTTATTTTGACAACGAACAACGAACGGCGTGATCAGGTTGAGTTTTTTCGTCCGAGACACCTTTTATTCCCAAGAAGCTCAAACTCGACACCCGCCATGCAGCGCATGTTCTCCTTCTAGTGCTGCTGCTGCAGTCACCTTTCGCGCAGAGAGTCGGCTGTGTGCTGTGCATGCTGTCTAGCGGGACGCCATGGCGGGTGTTGTTGTTGCTGTTGTTGTTGTTTTTGTTGTTGTTCTCACCGACTGTGTACCCTATCTGTGCCATACAGCAACAATCCTTAACACTAGCCCACCCTGAAGATCATCTATACAGATTCTATACTCAAATCCTAAGGCTAATAATAGCTGATGATTTAGGATCACGAATCGAAAGATTCTGATATGACTCTTCACAAGTGTATCCAAAGGAAAGAGGAGGTGTAGGAATATCCCGACTCGACCCCCCACACCACAATTGAGACAAAAGGTGATTCCGATGACGCGGAAACACAGCTAGAGGCGACTCAATGATAAGGTTATACCCATGGACGGATATAGCTAGGCAAGATGTGCTGCAAAGCACCATGTTTTAACAC